CAACCAAAGAATCATTTACCACATTTTTATAGCGCCCTTTCCATAAGTAATTATGTTCAAAGGCGCTTCACATTATAACTACACCAGAACAAGATAAACAATCAATTAAAAAATATATATAAAACTAGATAGGGACATATATTACTTAAATTACAATGGCCAATAAAACATTACTATCAGTTAAAATTGAGAAGAAATTAAGAAAAATAAGATAAGTTAAAATTGCTTAAACTACACAATTAAGATAGGAAAAATACAATTCAATTCACATTAATATTAAAATGATTGGTTCTATTATTATTATTATTATTTAATTAAGTTACGTTATTGGTAATTGGTAAGTTAAAATTATTGGTTCTATTATTATTATTATTTAATTAAGCTACGTTATTGCACTATAATTATTGAATAAAAAATACATAATATCGAAAAATGAGTAGAATATTTTAACAATTGTTATCAGATTTACAACAAGAAGACATTGAAAATAATTTAAAAAAAAACTGTTACCGCATGGGTTTCAGAAAATAATTTAAAACTCAATTCGAAAAAGACAAAGTTCACGTTAATTTCTCGTAAGTCCAAATTTAATTGGCGAGGTTGGAACTTATAAGTATCTTGGAGTTACTATATCTAATGATCTTAGTTTGAAATCTCATTTAGATATCAACAGATGCACTGATTATGTTTAACTGACCTTTATTGGGTCATCATCAGGAATTCCTGATGATGACCCAATAAAGGTCGAAACGTTGAATCATGGCCTCCCTCTCTTTATTCGGAGTAACGGTCATTTTATGTCATTTAGCTATTATTTGCAAAAAAATATAAAAAACTTATTACTATTAGTACTCTTAGACATTAAATTTTGAAATACCAGATTGTTGTATTTGCCAGTTACAGTCCAATTCCTTATCTGCCTGTAAAAAGTACCTTCCATCAGTCCAGAGTAACGCTTCGTTTGCTGTTACGATTGCCAAACCTATCGTGTGAAAACCAAAGCATTTAGGTAAATTAGCATCCGTTAAAAGATGATTATATTTATATTTAAAAAGAAAACCTCTTTACAGTACAATAAATACAGATTACGAAAGATTATAATGGTGTTGGTTATCATCCAAAAACCGTAAGGTCCACTGATTAATCTCAGATAAGATAGTATAATACATACTCCAAGTATCGAAATCCGGACACGATGGCGTGCATTTCGATACTTGGAGTATGTATTATGCTATCTTGGTTATTATCGTGGTGATGATGATGCTGATGATCATCATTGCTATAATCATCATCATCCTGATCATCATCCCTTCACCATCAACATCCTGATCATCATCATCATCATCCAGTAATCATCCTCATCGTCGTCATCATCATAATCATCCTCCTCGCCATTGCTATTATAATCATCAAAATCATCATCCTTCCCATGGTCCACATCGTCATCATCGTCTTCTTCATCATCAGGATATGTAGGGAGCAGAACTTAAAAAATCTTTACCGGCTGAGCCAGTAAACCCGGATATATATTGGCGTCGCTTATCCCTGTCTGCGATGTATTCACTCTGTAAGTAAACAAACAAAACCATATTAATAAACCCAATAAAATATTGGGTGAAACTAGGTTGTACTACAAAACATCTAATAAAACAGGTGTCTTTGTTGAATATTCGAACTAAATTATGAAACATTTTATAGACCATATATAAATCAGTATAGGTCTAAATTTACATGTTTTACGAATTAAGCTTATCATATTCAACTACATGTTTGTGCACTGTACTTTATATTATATATTTGCATACTGACTATTCAATTATATCTTGACTCTATATCTTTTTTTATATTAAGTTTATTCTATATTTTATATTAAGTTTATTCATGTGTAACCTTGGAAAAAGAATTTCATGTAAACCTTTTGCGGGACAATAAGGAGAATTTTGAACTTGAACCTTAACATTAAATTTCCTAAGTATTTAAGTGTTGTACAATATGTAGAAAGAATGTGTACTTATCAGGCCTTTCTCATCTCACTTACCTGATGTGCATCTTCTGACGGAATTATATATGCATCAACTTTTTCGACACTATTATAAACCATTTTATCTCTCAGATTCTTGAGTCGTTCCGTTGAATCGAATGCAGTGTCAGGAAGTACCTGTGGAATACACGACAAGTCT